ATAGCATTCACCCTAAAGCCACCTGAGTCTGCCTTGTTTTGTCTCAGTGACAAGATGTTAAATCACAAATTCGATTTTGTAATAGTATAATCAGATTTTCTATTTTTTTTTTTCTGGAGCCCATTTTATAGCTTAATTTTTCAAAGAATTTGCCCAATTCATCTAAATTGTGAATGGGTTGGCATAGTTGTTATGATACACTGAATGTTTTCTTAATGTTGGTGGCATCTGTGGTGACATCCTCTCCTTCATGCCTGATGTGGTCATCTGTGTGATCCTCCTTCTCAGCTCAGCTAGTACCTTAGTAAGTTATTGAAGTTTTCTTTACACAAATACAACTTTTGCTTTTATTGATTTTTTTTTTTCCCTGCTGTTTTCATTGATTTCTTCTCTTACCTTTATTTTTTCATCTCTGTTTTACCTGGAGTTAGGTTTGCTCCTCTTTATTAGCTTCTTGAGACAAAAGCTTAGATTATTGACTATACCTTAAATTATTGACTATACCTTTCTACCAGTTCTATGAATTTCTAAGAAGTACATTAACTGCATACCACATATTTAGATATGTTTCCAACTCTACTCAGTTCAAGATATTGTGTTCCCTGTCTACCTCTAGTTTACTTTTATGAAAAGTTTTGAATAATTGTCCTGAAATAAATCTTGGCAGGACTCAAAAAGATGTCTTTTAATTATGTTTTAGTTATGCCTAATAATTTTGATGGCTCTGATCTCTGGCTTTGGAGATAAGTAGCTTTGCATTGGTCCTACTTTTTTCACATGGAATTCAGAGCTCATAATTTATTGATTTAAAATAGCATCGCCTTTTTCATGTTTTTGCCAGTAAAATGGAAGTCTTGAGATGAATTAAAGTACCTTTTAAGTAGTATTTTAGGTGTTCAAAGTGTGTACATTTACGTATTTTTATTCTAGGCAAAATAATAAACTCTTGAAACATTTAAGGATTTTTCAGTACCAGCCTAGAGCTTGCAAATAGTATGTCCTCCCTTTATGTGTTCCTGATAGATTTTCCTAACTGAGCATATCACTACTTCCAATAAGGTCAGGTGCATAATTGTAATCTTTCTTATTCCATTCCAAGTTATTTAACAAACCAATTTTGCCAGTATAATGTAAGATAGAAAAAGAATGGGTCAAAATTTCCCTGTTACTTAAACTAATTGAACATTTTTATCTCTATCTTTCAGAATTATTCTCTGAAACTACTATGAAAACATGAATATAGAAAGTTTAAAAAAAATTTAAAACATAAACTAATGATCTCATACAGTGCACTCATAGCTTCAGTAAATTTGTGGAAATGATAATTTTAAAAATTTGACTGTTTTGAAAATTCATAGCATCTTAAACACAGTGTTTATCCAGAATTAGCATCTTGCATATTTGGATTAATATTCTGTTTTACACTCCTTATGATTTCTTCTTTGCTACTTAAATCATGTGATATTGTTAGAATTTGCTCCACTTCAAATTTCTGTGATTTTCCCATACATAGGAGAATTATTTCTTACGTAAATTAGCAGTATGAGATTTGCGTTCCTGAGGGGCCAAATGATTTTCAAGAGTGTAAGTAGCATCATTTGCATATATAAAATTAATGTCTAGATAGATGAGCCTCATCTCACGCTAATGTGTAGCCTTCACTTTCAAAACATGGTCTAAGAAATTAGCTTATCTTGTTTAGTGGATGGGACGCTAGGCCTTGCGTTTGTTTTAGGGGGGATTTGTTTTTGTTTTACTGCCATGTGTTTTCTTTTTAAATAAAACCTTGCTGATATAAATCTAAAAAATAAAATTAACTTCTGTTCTTATGTACTTTGAAACCAATTAAACTGCTTCTGCTCTAAAATATTGACTAGAATAAGTCACTAAATCATGCCAACCCCTCTCTTCCTGAGTCATTGGCCCACTTTTTGTGTCAGTTATCAAATACCTGGGTGAGCAGAACATCCCCTCTGTTAACATGACTCCTCTAGGCCCCGGGGCCAAAGTCAGCAGGTGTTGCTTAATGCTACCAGCTCGGCTGGGCAGGATCAAGGAGGACAGAGGAAATCAGGGATGGGGCTTTCCTGCGGGAATACCCTGTGCCCTGTTGCCAAGTTCATTCCAATTCATAGGCTGGGACAATGACCAATTGTCTCTGTCTCTGCAGTCTTTCACTCGCATTCTTTTTCTTCTAATTTCCCAGGGGAGACTGGCTTCTCTGTCATTATCTGCTGTGATCTGTTACTTCTATTCTTAGTTGTGAATTTCTTTTGATTAGGTATAGTTAAAAGGCAAGTGGAAGTCTGGCTAATTGAATATTATTTATGTAACTTTCCTGTTCCACATGCTTCAGTTAGTCCAGAGAAGTAGGCTTTTTATTGCACCTTACTGTAGAAAGCATATGATTTTATGCTTTTTTTTAAATGCAGTTTTGATAATTGCCCTTTAAAGAAGAAAAATGCATTTATATCAGTAAAATTTTAAAAAATTTTCTATTGCTACAGAGAAAAGTTCTAGTCTTTGGAATTTGTCTTACTAATTAAAGTTTGGCCAAATTAATAGCTAGATGAGACAAAGCAGAAATCAGAAGTGAAATATTTCCTAAATAAATTTCTCATGCTTCTTTGAGTGTGCAAAGTGTGGAAAACTGTTGTTCTTATGATGGTGCCTGTATGAAGAACTTAGTGATTTGACTTTCCTCCCTGAAACATCCCTATTCTCTCTTCTGCCCCCAAACTGTTGAAATCATCTCTATAGAATTATATTTATATGATAGGAAATCTGATATGGGTTTTTATTGTGTGATTTGAAATGTTTTTTTCTTCTTGTTCATGGATTCAGAATAATATTAAATTTTTGAATTCTTTTAATACGTTTTTTATTCAAAAGTTTAATGTTAAGTTGTCGCTGTTGAAGTAAGCGAGGACTTTGTAGCATACTTTGGAGAAACTGGCCCACAGAGAAGTGACCCCGAGACCCTCCCATTGGGCCTGTGAAAGACAAAGGCAGCCTGCTACCCAGTCACTCTGGGATAGAAAGCTCTTCGTGCTTTGCCCTTATAAATGAAGGGAGTCTCAGACCATGAGGGAGACCCAGGACCAGCACCTGGAGGACAGAGGGACTGACTGCTGGAGTGAGTCAGTGCTTTTTTATTTTTTTTCAGTTACAGTTGAAAGAGTTGCTTAAGGAAATCTTCCAGAAAATAGAACAGTAGCTAAAACATGAAAAATAAGAACAAACTGAGGACCAATCCTAAAGTCTCAACATTCAAAAATGTGGAGTCCTTAGGAAAGAAAAATTGCAGAAGAAATTAAATAAGATAGTTTCCTAGACTGAAAGAATGATTCCGCTGGGCCTTACCTTGTGTGAAAGTTTAGAGACCTAAAATCATGAAATTGTAAAACATTGAAAGTTTGTAACCTGAAAGTCTACAAAGAGAGGATTGTGGAGCACCTGTAAGAACTGTGTGAGGCCTCATGGTCTCTCTCCTGCTACCCTCTTTGGAAAAGTACCCAGTTCCATGTGCATGGACCAAAGTGAAGCTAAGGAAGACCAACCACAGCATGTCTCTCCGATAATCTGAGGTTACATTCTCAGTCCTAAACTCTGCGCCGATTTTTAAAATCTGAACAACTTCCTTAAGTGTTCCACGGCGACCAGTGGTTATTTCCTTTATTGGTAGAACCGTAGTCAGGTGTGTGCACAAGCCTTTGTTCCCCTGGACTCTCACGGCAGGAAGATCCCAAATTTGAGATCGGCCTCAACATTTTAATATTTAGGACTTTTAAAACTGATTAGCAAATTTCCTTTTCATAAAATGTGAAGAATAATGTTGTGTTTTTTTTTAACCTGTCAGAGAAATGGAATAACTAGGGCTTGCCGTGTCAACCTCTTACTCTCTTGCCTTGTTATTTTCTAGAGTTCCTGGAATAACTATTGCTACAGATATCATCTGTGGTTTTCCTGGAGAAACAGATGAGGATTTTCAAGAAACAGTGAAGCTGGTTGAAGAGTACAAATTTCCAAGCCTCTTTATTAACCAGTTTTACCCAAGACCCGGAACTCCTGCTGCAAAACTGGAGCAGGTGCCAGCACAAGTGGTAAGATAGTTTTCTCTTAAGGCATTAGTTGGTGCCAATGCAATGCATCTGTCTTGCCCACCCAAGGGCCCTGGCTCATGGGGTAACCCTTGAGTTTCAATTGAGAATCCCAAGTTGGAATCAGGCAGAGGGTAGGGGGAAGAACCACAGAAGAGTCAAATGACCTTCGGTGACTAAAGATGGCTAAATGTCACCTTTTTCTTCGTTTGAGGAGAGAGGCTTAAATATCATCCTGAAAAAAAAAAATTAACTATTATGTGGTATCTGCCTGCAAGTGTGAGATTGTTGGATGTTTCAAAATTAGGCAGCGTTTAGATATTTAGATATCTGTGTGTGAGAGCATGAGTTGCAGTAGCCTAGCAGGCCCCAGGTTCATCCCCATTCACACACACACACACACGCGCACGCACACAGACACACGCACCCACACACA